TGCCCAGGGGCGGGCCCACTCCCTGCCCAGCTGGCCAGCAAGAGAGGCTACAGGTTGCCCTGGGACTGTGGGACGACGGCCTCGCTGTGCCCACCTGACAGCCGAGACCCAGTGCCGCACCTCAGGGCTGGCGCTGGCCCCTGGGGGCCGCCTTCCAGGCTGCAGACGCTGCCTCTGGTTGTGCCTTCGGGTGGACGAGGGTCCCCTGTGCAGGGCACTACCCTATGTCCCCAAAGGCTTCACCTCACACCACGCCTGGGGGCGAGGACCTCAGCATGTGCTTGGGGGACTCAGACAGGGACACTTGGCCCATCACCCTGGGGCTTCTGAGGGCCGTCTCTGCCCCAAGGGGACAGTAGGGCCGAGAAGAGGGCGTGACGCTGGCCTGAGAGCCGAGGCCTTGATCCCGCCAGGCCTGAGCTAGCCCGGGCCCAGGAGCCCGAGCCAAGCATGCGTACCCCAAGTCCTGAGAGCAGAATGGAGGAGGGGTTGCAGCGTGGCCATTCCCCTGGGGGGTGATCTCTCACTTCCTGTCTCTGTCTCTGTCTCTGCAGCTAGCACATGTGCCCTATAGCAAAACATCTCCCAAAAATAAAGGAGAAAAGGCTGGCTGTGGCCATGATGAGTGGGGGGCCTCTCCGGCCCCGCACGTGGCCAGACTCTGTGCTGTTACCACTGCGGGCTCACACCCGGGTCTCAGGCCCAGGGGTGCGTGTGCAGAGCACAGATACACGCGATCCGTACTGCAGGTACCGGCCCCTGACCGCTCCCCGCCTGGAGCCGGCCTTCCAGGAAGTGCTGGCTCTCCTGGGGGGCAGACGCACACCTGGGGTAGGAGTGTGTGTGTGCGTGTGTGCGCCTGTGTGCTCACATGTGCGTGTGCTCACGTGTGCATGTGCCTGTGTGCGTGTGTGCCCAGTGTGTGTGCTCACGTGTGTGTGCCTGTGTGCGTGTGCCTGTGTGCGCGTGTGCCCGGTGCGTGTGCTCACGGGTGCGTGTGTGGGTGCGCGAGTGCCTGTGTGCGCGGTGTGTGTGCTCACGTGTGTGTGCCTGTGTGCGCGTGTGCCCGGTGTGTGTGCTCACGTGTGCGTGTGCCTGTGTGCGCGTGTGCCCGGTGCGTGTGCTCATGTGTGTGTGCGTGTGTGCCCGTGTGCCCGGTGCGTGTGCTCATGTGTGCCTGTGTGCGCGTGTGCCCGGTGCGTGTGCTCACGTGTGCGTGTGCCTGTGTGTGCGTGTGCCCGGTGCGTGTGCTCATGTGTGTGTGCGTGTGCCCGTGTGCTGGCACCAGTGGGCAGTTCTGTCCTCTCTGCAGCTCAAGCTCCCCCCACTAGATCTATTATCGATTCCTCTCTGAAGGTAGAGCTTTTCTCGTGAAGAGCCCTTTAACGGCCCCACAGAGCACGCAGCATAGATATGACTATTTAGACCAACCCCTGGGACCTCGGAAGGGAGACTGACGAGTCCAAATCAAACAGGTTCGTAAAAACGAATGCGCTTACCAGGACGGCCCACATCCCAGTGTCTCCGCCCCTCCATCCTTGCGAAGCTTCAGACATGCTTCAGACACGCTAACCATGTGAGTGCCCACGGCCCGCTGCCAGCTCTCATGAGCACCAGCTCGGGCACACGGGCTGGAGGAGCTGCAGTGGGGACCTCGGCCCTGCGAGGGTCCCGGTGAAGCATGTCCGTCTGAGGCCGTCTGCACCAGGACGGCTGGCGTTCCAGATGCACGAGTGGGAAGGGAGGCCCGCGCCCCGAGGGGCCTCACGGGCGGCCGCCGCATCCCCGTGTCACAGGTGCAGACGGGCATCCTACCCCGGGGACCTGCCGCAGATCTCGGTGGTCTTCATCTTCGTCAACGAGGCCCTGTCGGTCATCCTGCGCTCGGTGCACAGCGTGGTCAACCACACGCCCTCCCAGCTCCTCAAGGAGGTCGTCCTGGTGGACGACAACAGCGACAATGGTGAGTGGGGCCGGCCGGCGCGGCGTGGCCCTTTTGGGCTGCCGTGGCCAAGGCTATGACCAGGGCCTGACGCGGCAGATGCCGACTCTCGAGCGGCCCGAGTGGGGCGGCGGCAGGCTGGCGGCCCCAGGGCTCCCCAGGGCTCTGCCTGCTCCCGGGCATCTGCAGCAAGTAGTGCTCGGTGTCCTCGGCCTGTGGCTGTCACTCCCTGGCTGCTTCCGTGTCACCTGGCCTCTCCCTGGGGTCTGTCTGCGTCTCTCTTCTAGTTTGGTTTTTGATTTACGCTTGTTAGGGAGAGACAGAGAGAGGAGGGTGTGAAGGCCCCTCCAGGGGACAGCCGCGCTGCAGTCCCCTCCCTGTTCTCCTCCTGGGCTTTCAGGCACACACGTGGGCCTGGTGTGATTTCCAAGCCACCAGGTCCAGGACTCGAACCACACAGCCAGCCATGTGGGATCCAGTTGCCCAAATCGCTCCCCTTCTTCTCAGGACACGTGTCATCGAATGTAGGGCTTGGGACCCTGTCCCCAGCCTGGGGCGGCCACGTCCCAGCCCTTGCCGGTCGCAGCAGCAGACTCTCCATAG